GGAGGGGGGTTCCACCCAGGTGGGATCCACAGCCAGGAGCCTCTGACTCGCTGAGCCAGGTCCACAGGGGCCCAGGGCGGGCTGGGGTGGGGGGAGAAGCCTGTCATTGTTTGCTGGAGGGTGTGTGCAGCTGTGGAGAGATACAACTGCAGAAGGTTCTGAGATCTGGTCTTGGGCAGAGCTCACTAAATGCTTCTGGCAGCTTCTTCTGATCTGATTTTAGTCTTGTGGGGCTTTGGGTGCTGGGGTCATGCGGTATAATTCAGATGATCAGACTCTCTGATTCCCAGGCAGACTGAGGTGGCTGCTGGGTGGAGACTGCCAGCCCAGACCCTCTCCTGGGCCAGAAGCACTTCAGACACCAGCCGCACACTCCTTGGGGCCTCCAGACCTAGATCCCCGGACTCCAGGGCTCTGGTGGGCATGTAGAAAGTTACTCTGAATACGGAGCCTTAACTGGCGCTGAGTCCTGGCAGTTAAGGCTCAGCTCTGCCCAGGGCTGTGTAACCCAGAGGTGTGACCACCGCTCAGAGTCCTGGCTGATGACACCAACCCCCTAGCCCTCTCATGAGGAGGCAACGACTTGGCAATTAAAGTGCTGAGCTTGCTGTTCTCCATGATGGCACTTGTTAATCATTCAGTTGCCCGAAATCATCTCAGATGAGAAAAGACTTAAATGAGGACAAGGACACTTACTCTGGGTGTGGCCGGTGCCCCCCACATGGATTCTCCCCTAGTCACGAGCAAGGATGGGGGCCAGTCTGCTGGTGGGATGCTGCCAGCTGCGGTGCTGCAAAGTACCTCTAGGAAAAAGGCTGGACCAGAATCTAGCAAATTGGCGGCTAATAAGTAGTTGAAGAAGCGGGATTCTTTCCCAAGCAAACAAAATTACTTGAAAAGAGCCTATTTTGCGTGGATTTAGCCAGAGAGGTGAACAGGGCAGTGTCCCAGGGTCCGTGGTGGAAGGATCTGGATCGTTTATATTTAGTACCATGAAAGGTCCTCAGGTTTGGGGACTGCCCCCTGGAGGTGAGACAAAGGGGTGCAGTCAGAAGAGCTTGGCTCTGCAGCAGGTCAGGACGGGGGTGGGGGGCCTGTCAGATCCATGGCAACTGCCAGCCCCGTGACCACGAAGAGTCAGAAGACAGTTGACCTGGGTTGCTGTGAGGATTAAATAAGGTGGAGACGGCAAGTAACTACCTCCTTCTGCGCTGTCAGCAGCTTTGTGGGAGCAGTGGCCCTGGACCCCTGGCCGCTTCCGAGCAGGGATCGGATGGCGGGCAGCCTGGCAGAGGCGCCTGCAGACCAGCCGGCCACTGCTCACCTTCGGCCTGTCTGTGTGCTGCGTGTGGTCTTGAGGGGCAGACAGTGAGCACAGGACTGAGCACAGGGCTGCCTTTCAGAGCTCGCAGTCGCTGTCCGTGCACATAGAGCTCTCTGGGAAATTCCCCTGGATCCGGCAAGTCAGGAGGCCTGGCAGCCAGGCATGTCGGGGCCAAAACAATCAAAACACACCTTTATCAGGGGAGGGGCTATGAGCCTCACCTCACGCTCATCCTCATCACTCAGAAGGGTTCCAAGTCGTTACCAGGTATTAAGCAAAAGGCCCGGACGGTGTAGAAGAAAGGTCACCAGACAGTCGGTCCCACCATATTCAAGCTCTGACATCCCTGGCAAGTTGCTGAGGCCTCTCTTGGAGCCTCAGTTTCCCCATGTTAAATGAGAAAGCCACCAGCTACCCTTCCCAGTCCAGGGGTGGCGGGTAAGTGCTGCTTCCCTCCCTACCCCAGCCGAGAAACACTCGGCACCAGCAGACACTGCTTCTTTGGCAGGAAGAGGCCTGCACAGCTCTGTCCAGGGGATGACACCGAGTTCCCATTCTGTGGAAGGGGAATGAATGAGGGCCAGGACACAAGGGGTACTCAGCTTTCCCTGCTGCTGACTGGCCTCTGACCCCCAGACATGCGGTCTGATCCCTCCTAACCCTAACTCTTACCCTAGGGGACCCCCAGGGCATCCCATCAGCCCTGCTCTGAATAATAATGGAAGGAGCTGCTACTTCTGGAGGAGAAATGTCACTGAATATTAATTAGCTAATGTGAACTAAAAAGCAGAGGACCATCTTCCCAGAAACCTTCCTGAAATGTTCTTCCGATCACCGTCCTATGGCTCCAAAGCAGCAGGATGCCTCTACCTTTGAATCTGGAAGAAAATTTGGTACAGGATGCATTTCATTGTGGGAAGAGGCAAGTCTACAGGAGTCGGCGCGAGATTCCCATTAAAGAGCTTCTTCTCACAACCCTGCAAGGCTTGCGCCAACTGGGCCGTCTCAGTTACTGCTGAACGACGGACGTGTGGACAGACCGACGGACATCAGCTGGGAGGAAGAACTGCTCTCCGCAGGAGGACTGGCCAGCGAGCTGACGTCCGATGCTACTGGGCCTTAATGAATTCCAGACGCTGAGCTGCTGCCGGAGGCCCTGGAGACCGTCTTATTCTTAATCAGCTCCATCTTCCTGTCCACACAGTTAATTATTTCATGTGCTGTTTGGAAGTGAGAGTTGGGGCAAGAGTCAGGAGGACTGAGTCCTTCCCTCAACTTCAAAGATCCTGTGTGCCCTTTTGCGTTCACATCCTCCAAGTTTCCGATGCACTTGGGTATTCCCGGTGGAGACAGAGGTCCGGGATTCAAGGAGATGGAGGCCAGATGAAAGGGCCGCCCCGAGCAGAGTGCCGGTCACAGGCCCCACCCCAGGGCCCACGGGCTCCCGCCTGCTGGCTTCTTGCTGTGTCTCCCAGCACAATGCTGACAGATTGGAGGCGCTGGTGTCTTTCTCCCCCCAGAACAATATTTTATGAGGAGTTTGTTTTATTAAAATATTTTCCGCTGGATGCTTCCTGTGTTTCGAGAAGTGGGTCTTGCCAGCTGGAGCTTATGACAGTTGAGAAAACACCTCGCAGCGCTGTTGGGACATGGCTTTTGGGGGTGGAGGCGCACGGGGGATGGGGCAGCAGTGGCGTGCAGAGACGCAGGGCAGCACCAGGGTGCCAGGATGTCACCGGCGTTGGGGGAGAAGGAATACCCCCACCCAGGGACAAATTAGGGAAAAAAAAAGGTGACCAGAAACTCTAGAAATAATGTCCGACAGCATCCCTCCACCGCTGGCGGGCCGCCGAACCCCACGGAAGTCTGGTCACAGACAGCTTGCATTAGCTTTCTGTGCCTGCCAGTTTGCCAAGCCACCCATTTAGCCCTGAGGCTCCCACTGGGTCATTTAAACCCAAACAGAAATCTAAAACAAGGCACATCGCAAAAAGAAACTAAAAGTATTATCAACTGAGTTCTGATAATAACGAGACGCTGGCCCTTTGGCATCACTCAAGAGGCACCCCATGACACTGTGGGGGGGGTGGGGACACACACAATGGCACCAATGCAGGTGATTAGGATGTCCTATCTCATATAGGGCACCTGGCCACAAAATGGGAGATGCTTTTCTGTAAAATGTGCAGAGTCACTGGGCTGGGGTGCTTTTGTGCAAAGCAAACATATTCTGAGCTTGCATTTTAACACCAATGGGCCCTTGAACCTGCATCCTGGTACGGGGTCTACAGGATTTTAGCCCAGTTTGAAAAGGTGTTTTTAAAGAAAAAGATGCATTTTATTCCCCCCTAAAGAGAAATCTTTAGGGTTTGAGGCACGCTGAAGCCGTGCAGCAGCTTCTCCACAAGGGGGCAGTCATTATCCATGCAGCTCCCAGCCGGGGACCTATTCTATCCACGTTAGCATGCCCACAGTCCAACCTTGCAGAGCAAAAGTTAAACCTACACCCAACTTCATGAGTCCGCTTCTGAATTTCACATGACCAGCCATCTCCCAGTGCGCACGCGCGCGCGCGCGCGCGCGCGCGCACACACACACACACACACACACACACACACGCAGCCTAGGCAGGCTGCTCCAGAACAACATGCATTCTCAAGCAACACTGCTGTAAACCACAAACTCCCAGAGGCGCAGAAGGGCCTCACCCTGAGCCCAGTCTGGTCACAGCTTGATATCTCGGGGATGTTTCTTCCTTTAGCCCTTTTCTGGCTAGGACCTAGGATCTCTCATAACTTCTCTCCCTGAGAGCTTGCTCGAAACAGGGCAGGCACCAGGAGCATTCCCGGGGGGCATCTCAGGGTCCCTGGAGCAATATTTTTGCTTTCCCCCAACAGCCCATGACCAAGAGGATCTCATGCGCTTTTGCACAGGAAGTCCGTGTGCAGCTGCCGAGTAGTCTGGGCTGAGATCCCCAACCTTGGGGATAAAGGAAGTCCTGCACCCGCCCTGGTGACAGCAGTACCTTCTTCCCTAGGCAGACCCCCTTTCAGGCAGCTCAACCATTAAGCCCCACATGTATGCCCACCCCCGTCTTCCACCCCAGCTCTCCAACAGCCTGGCAGGTGACTCTCACTGGGTCCTACGCCATGAACTGGGCATAAAACCCAGCCCTGGGTCCAAGGTCTGAAAGAAAAGGCCATAATAGATCAAAAGCTATGGCCCAGGTGAGCGGAGGTACTGGTGTGTGGAGCAGGGAGAGAAGAAAGCCGGTCTCATGCATAAACCCCAGCTCTAGAGGCCCCGAACACACCATTGCATGGCCCTTGTAAAACAGGTTGCCTCCTGGGCCAAGTTCCCAACTCTCCTGCTGGCCTTACATGTTGTCAGCATAAGAAAAGAATTAGAACCTTCTCTGAGTTCCCTTTGGGCATCACTACTCAAAACCCAGCCCAGATGGCGGCCTCTGGGGCATCCCGCTGGGGTGACAACCACTTGGGGCTTGTGGAAGCGGACACCGCAGCTCCAGGACTTCCCTGCCCTCTGTGAGAGGACTGTGCAAGCAGGGGGTTCCAGGGAAAGCCTCTTGAGGGCCCGGTGGTGGCGGCAGCAAGGGATCGCAAGGCACTGGACCCCTGGGGTCTTGAGGCCAGAGGGGGAGCAACAGGGGACTCACTGTTCGGGGCTGGAGACCGACGTCCTCCGACCTTCCACAGCGATGTTGCTCTTGGGTCTCTTAACGACATGCGGGCGAGGCGGGCGCACCTACAGTGGGGACAGGGGAAGAGCCCCAGAAAGGGTGGGTTAGAAGGGCCACACAGGGCTGTTCTGAAGCTTCGGCTTGGCGGCCCCCAAAGACAGGCCGTGGGGCTCTCACAGCACAGGCTCACAGTCCTGCTGGCTGTGGCGATGCCGCTCTTGGCCTGGCGGCAGCACATAGCCCAAGCTCCACAGGCCGCTCCAAGGGCAGGGCCTCCTCCCTGGCAAGGAGGGGACCCTTCCACCTGCCCCCTCGCAGGGCAGCCAGAGCTTCAGTGCAACCCAAGCCCAGAGGCCCTCTGGAATGCTAAGTCTCCTCTGGCCTGCTTCTGGAACCCAGAAACCAGTTGGTAGAACAAAAACGCTTCACTCAGATTGTTTTTATGGGTAAACGTGCCATTTTGCTTTTTATAACAGGATGCTAATTTTGCTCTCTAAATGGAGAGAAGGGGAGCCAACGATAGATTACTATCGAAATAAAAATCATCTTCCTGCTTCCTAGGGCACCCCTGGGTGCCCCTGGAGCTGGGAGGTGGGCGCCCCTGGAGCTGGGAGCTGCACACCCCGCAGGGCTGCCACCCTCAGCTCGGGGACCTGCTCTCGGGTCGCCGGCGGGCGACTGTGCTTGACACTGAGACTACGGCTTCCTAATCCAGCTGTAGCAACGACGTTTTTCTTCCTGACCTGCCGCCTCTGAGAGCCAGGCCAAAGGCCCATGAAAAGAGCCTCCCACCCCCAGCGCGGGGACTGGTGGGCTAAGAATCTCCAGGTGTTCTGGAAGGATACTCATTTCGCCTAATCAACATGACACCGTTTTAAATTTGAACATGTCCAATGCTGGAGAGTAGGGGGGGAGCTCAGCTAAGAGTCTATCGTGGATTTCAGTGCCAATAAAAATGATGGCGCCTCCCAGCACACGGGGGCTTGGCCCTCTCGCTGCAGACGAGGGGCCGAGGGAGGAAATGCCACAATCGCTGAGGTTCCTGGACTAGCCAGGGCCGGGGAGCGCGCATGCTCCCGTTCCTGCCTGCCCTCTCCCTGAGCACATTCCGCACCCCCACCTCCAGCGATCTGTGGGCGATGCGGCACAATGGCCGAGGAACACATGAAAGGCAAGTCTTTATAGAGTCTCGTCAAGCCCTCAGGTCTCCGCACGTCTGATCTCACCCCGGTTTTTCCTGTGGCGTGGCCAGTGTGAGCTCAGCCTTGTCTGGCAAGTCAGAGATGAGCTGGCAGCCAAGTGCATTCCACCAAACCTGCTGCCTCCTGGGGTGCGTGGGGAGGCCCGAAGGGCTGAAGGAGCGCTCACCTTGCTTCTCTGTGACTGGGGGACAGGGCGGGGGTCTCGGGATTAGAAGGCGCCATTCAGGATGAGCTTACCCTTGCCTGGCATCTTGCAGGGTGCCTGGTACGTAGTGGCCGCTCAGCAAGATTTTTAGAAATAAAGGAACGACGATGCTTGGCATCTCACCAGTCACGAGAACATTGCTATTGTTATTGCTGTGATGAGGGCAGCGCCAAGCAGACGCCCGCAAACATGCAGCCACCGTTTGCTGAATGACTGACAAATGGACACCCCCCCACCCATTCTAACTCTGGACCGTCTTGGGCCGGAGCCGACCGACCGACCTTTGGCTGGTGAACAGGACCCCCTGGCTGGAAGGCTCCCCCAGACTTTTCACAAGAGGCGTGTGCACAGCTGGTGATGGTCCTGCCACGGGGGCCCCGGTGGGGGGGCTCTAGGAAGGGTCATGCATGAAGGCCGGTCAGCCTGTCCTCGCACCGGGTCGCTCCTTGTTACAATAAAGGCGGGTTAAGAATGTGAACTTGGGGCTGAAATGGGGGGATTAAGTTTGTGGCAACTTCAACTGAACTTGCAACGTGGTGAAACATGGGGAAAAAGAACAACAGAGCTAATTAGACGAGCTGAGCTGTCAGAGCGCGGCTCAATGGCTCAGCGCCAACAAACAAAAGGAATGGCTTGGCAATCAGCAGGATCGATGGAGGAGACTGCTTCATTAGGGATGATAAAACAGACAGAGCAGGGGGGTGGGGAGGGGGCCGAGGCGGGCGGCGGGGGAGGGAGAGGAGCGCCTCGGACGGGGACAGTCACCAGCCGGGCAGCTACCAACACACCCGGAGCTGCACACACCTGATTGGTGTGGACAAAGCAGACACAAAATCACACTCACAACTAACCACCCAGAGACACGCACCGCACCGAGGCCTGGAGACACCAGCACAGTCTCGCAAACACCCTCACAGAGGCAACGCAGCCACACACACACTCACACAGAGTCATACGGCTCGAGCTGCAGCCAGGCACAGACACAAACAGACAAAATGGTTTAATTAAGCCCAAATCACAAGCCGATGCAGACAACTGGGCCGTCATATTCCAGCGATCACATCCGTCTTTCTTGGGGTGCTTAGGAAGGTGGGGGTGGAATGAGGAAAGAGACCATGCACACACACCACAGTGCCCCCCCCCCACCCCCCCAGTGCTGGATCCCGGCAGTGCCAGGGGAGAAAATGCTAAACAGGGATTTTGAGCTCTGTTCAAGGGGGACTTGAGGGGAAAGTTGGGAAACCAGCCAATTCCCCACTGGATTTAAAACCTGAGAAATCTAAGTCGGCAGGGTTAAATGTGTATTGAATACAAAAGCACCGAGTACATTTGATTTTAATGGTGAGCAAGAAATAATAAATACAGAGCTTATAAAGCACTTCGCATGCGGCCGACCACAGCCTGCCGGCCCCCTGCACGTCCCAACCCACTCCCCTTAGTCCACCAGACACTGGCCAGGCTTTCTTCTGCTCTTTCTTTTTTTTCTTTTTAAAAAGAAAATCCAAATCCTCTGGTAACATCTGAACTGCAGCCACAGGTGCCAGGCTACAAAGCTCCTTCCAGAAAGGCTGAGTGGCCAGCCCCCACGTTCCTGACATCCCAGGTCAAAGCCACACTCTGTCCAGAACCTTGGCAGTGGAGTGGCCCAGCAGAGCCTGGCTGGGGTCCAGCGGTACTGGACAAGGCCAACTGGCCAACCTCTTGCAGCCCTGAGGGGTTCCATCGCCCTCTGTCTCCCAGGCTCACCCTGAGTATGCAGTGGTACCCACTCATAAGCCCACTGGGTGACCAGAGTGGACAGACTCTGGGGTGCTGGGGACAGCTTCCAGCACAAACCGTCCAGGGCCCCTGCATCCATAATGACCCTGCTGGCAGGGGGTACACGTGTGCCCTTCATGCCAGGAACTGCACTGGGCATGGCACATATAGGGCCTCATTATCTTCCCCGGGTGGGTGCTACTCAACCAGCTTTACAGAGGATGAACGTAAGGCTGGGAGAGGGTAAGAGTCTTGCGAGGGTCACGCAGCCTGGAGGTGGCCAAGCCGTGAGACTCAACTGGGGCATGATTTCCAAGGCCAAGGGAGGCGGCCCGACTAGGCACTCTGCTGTCCCGCCCCCTGACTGGGGTGTTGGTGGGTTTATGGCATCTTGTCCTACTTTTCCATCCTTACTGTGTACGTCACATGGGAATGTGGAGGGAAGGTGGAGGCCCAGAGGAGAAAGCAGGGGGCGGTGGGGGGAGTTGCTGGCTGATACTCTTAAGAGATAGCAAATGCATTTCCAAGCCAAGATCTGGGGGCACAAGACCCCAGTTGACAGCATTCTGCTCCCTTTAGAGCAAAGGGCCACTGGAGAAAGGCTTTAAAGCTCACTGGCTAGACATCCGGCTCCCCCTGAGATTTGCTCCCGTGCTGCCCACACGGCGCACACCACACAGCAGGCCCCGGCTACCTGCAGGCCACCGAACTGATTCAGAGAACAGGAGAGGAGCCCAGAAAATGCAAGTTCAAGTGCATGCCACGCAGAGAGGAAAGCTGAGAAACCCAATTCCCAGTTTTCTTTTGCCAGGCAGCTGAGTTCAGACTCCCTAGATTTAGTCAGGCGGGGGCAGAGCTCAGGCAGTGTTAGGGGGAGGGTGGGACACCGGCTACTCACGGGCCTCGAGCGCTGCATCTTGGGAGGCGGCGGGCGTGTGGGTCGGAGTCTTTGTGGCTGCATCAAAGTGGAAACTTAAATCATCAGTACACCGAGAAGGTTCCATGCCTCTCCACACACGGCGTGAGGGCAGGCACCCACGACCCAGCCCCAGCCCCAGGGCCGTCCTGGACGCCTCCCACTCCTGCACCCCGGCCCACATCAGCAGGTCTTGGGTCACACGTGTCCACTCGGAGGCCTTCTCTCTGCTTGTTTCCCAGTTCTAGTTCCACCTTAGCCCTGGAACCCTCCATCTCCCTGTCCCGATCGCCTCCAGCCATTCTCCACACAGGCAGAGGGGGATCTTCTAGAATGCAATGTGACCGAGCTGCGTCCTGGCTTCAAACACCTGCTGCCTCCTCCTCCTTGGGTGGCGGTTTCCAAGGAGCACGGCTGACACCCCAAACTCCAAGACCCGGGTTCTGCTGTGCCTAACCCCCGGAACGTTCAACCTTCACTCAGCTCACGGGAGGCAGAGCCTCCAATAGGTGCTCCCACTGGGTTTGCCGCCTGCCCCATGGGAGGAAAGACACAGCCCCCCAGCTCTGCTGGCAAGCGCTGCTGGTCCCGCAAGAGTCTGCTCAGGCGAGACGCCCCTGCCTCCTGGACTTGCCCGCAGTGCCTGTCCTCTCACCCAGAACTGGCTTTTAAATGTTCTTTCCTTGAGGGCTTTGTCCCTGTGCCTTGGGGGAAAACATCTGCTCAATAAATGTCCAAGGAACAAATAAATTTTGTGCACAATGCTTGACTTTTGAAATCAGGATCTGTATAAAAATCCACAGAGCACTGAGTTCTTAAACTCTACCCTCAAATGCTTTACCTTGAAAGTCACGCTCTGTCCTTTCAGAGGTGGGCTGGTCTAGATGCCCTGAACAGGTGTGGGGAACAGGTAAGTGTGGAGAGCAAAGCCCCCCTCGCTCAGTGCAGACCCCAGCAATCCCCGGACCCCAGCAATCCCGGTGGCTTCCTCCCCCTCGGCCCCTTGGTTCAAGGAGGTGCCCATTAAGCTCACAAAGTCCAGACTGTGAGCCCCTAGAGTGGCCACGTGGGGTCGGTGTGAACTGAGGCCGTGGGTGTTGAGATGCACACCGGGGCCCAGACTTGGCTTGACAAGGGAATGCAAGAGAGCGCAGTGTCGATGACACGTGGAAATGAAGGTATTTTGGGCGTTTGGGTTGAATTGACTGTTAGATTTAATTTACCTGATTAACTTCCTTAATACAATTACGACAGCATTTGGACTCCCCCAGCGGACTCCCAGGTGTGGATCCCGCCCTCTTGCTCTAAAAAGCGTCGGTGCTTTAGGGCTGTCCTGGGTTGGACGGAGCCTTCAGACACTAACCTTCGAGAACCGATTCCCTGAGCCTGACCACTGGAGGGGAGGGGCCAGGTCTCCCTGGGCCCAGGGCCCCTGGTGTTCAGTCCAGGGCTTGTCAGAGCCACCTGAGGGGAAAGTTGACCTGGGAATTCGGTAGAGAATTGGGGTCCCTCAAGGCACACTAAGGATACCTCTGGATGGAAAACACAGCCGCTTCCCAGATCCTGTGCCACTAGCTGGTGGTGTAGACCGGCCTTCAGTTGTGGGTAGGGGAGCCCCGTCCAGCACAGGCCACTGCTCTTGGGGGGTTGCCACACCCCCGCGCCCCCTCACCCATTCCTCCTCCATCACCCTGCGCTCTCTTCACGCTGCGCCACTCAACTCCCACGCGACCGCCTTCCAGCCCTGATCGCACGGCTCAGACCTGGGCCCTTTCCACCCCTGCATTTTTGTGCTTCTATGCTGGTCCCTTTCCCTGAAACACTCTCCCATGTCTTTTTTTAAAATTTACTCATACATACAAGAGCTGGGGTGCAGGCCGGAGATCGGGTGGGTGAGAGGACTCACCAGAGACAGAGTGGGGAGAACAGGTAGATCTACTGAAATACACGGCTGAGGGGAGCAGCGGGAGAGACAGGAGAGGTCTGCTGCGCCATGTGGGTAGCTCCCTGGCCAGGGATTGAACTCAGGCCGCAGTGGCTGGCGATAGCTTGATAGCGTTGAGACCTAACCCCTGCGCCACGAGGGAGGCCCCCATGTCCTTTTTTTCTGTTTTGGGCCTCTTATTTATGGCTGTCTGACTCAAGCACCACCTCCCTTGGGAGCTGCCCCCCATATCATCAGCTCACAGTCTTGTCCTATTTACAGTACTGCATACACAATAGGACTTCAGTAAATGATTTTGGGCTTAAACTCCCTGGCATCTGTAGAAAAGTCAGCAAAAGTTGTTTTCCAGCATCTGTGATTAACTAAGGACCTTTGGTTGTGATCAGGAAGTGCTGGTTCTTTTGCAATTGAATTTATAGGAAAGAAAGCAGCTTCTTGACCATACCCGAGTTGGAAACTAGCAGAGTCAACCAAGAGGATTTCCAGTCGGCGAGCAAGGGAAACGTGGTCCAATGTCCAGTGTGGGTGGTGCAGGCATTGCAGCACCCCCCACACCCCTGCCAATGGAGGATGCAGTTCCCCAAATATGCTGGGTGGGAGGTTGACAGTTGGGGACACAGGTTGGGAAGAGCTGAGTACTCTGGGGACAATTAGAACAGGCCACGGGAGTGAGTGGGGGTGGCTTAGGGGCAGGGGCTGAAGAGAGCAGCCAGGCAAGGATCAACTCAACACACCATGCTCAGAACGTGACCCCAACACTCAGAAGCCAGCTCACTGGGGAGAGCGGAGGGAGAGGGAAGGCTGGCAGGGCTGGCTGGGCCACGGCTATGAGTTTGTTGGGCCAGGAGGTGCTGCTCCCCACACTGTACTGCCTAAGGGTGCAGCCCTGGAGAACTCTGCATCCCCAGCCCCCACGGGCTTAGCCTTCTCATCCCTCGTGGCAGGGAGCATACCCTTCCATGGCCAAGGCCACAGACCAGAGGGAGGAACGTGACCTGCTCAGGGCTGCGGCCCGTACCAGGGAGCCCTGGAAACAGGCCTCTTCACTTCCAATCCAGGCTCTTTTCCCCACTGGAGGAGGCCGGAACCAGAGAGCCTCAGAGCAGAAATCACAGAGAAGTAAGCGGTCTGGGCACCTTGGCCTACAAACACTTCCAATGTGATCCTTCTGGATGGGAACTTGGCTACACTCACTGCTGTTATCTTAAGTGAGTTCAAAAAGGCGGGCAAAAGACTGGCAATCTATGCTTGTGTTCTGGTGCTGGCAGCTCTCTGCCCACCTCTGTCTACGCAGGTGCCTTCCCCCCCCCTTTTTTCTAATAAGCCCTTTCTTTTAAAATGCAAAAAAAAAAAAAAAAAAAAAGTTCTAGTGCTTTGGGAGGTGGTTCCCACGGAGGGCACCCTCCTGCCCGAGGCCCATCTAGCGCAGGAGGCAGACTCACGTCGCGGAGGAGAACTCCTCCTCATGTTTATGGAGCAACTACTTGGCTCAGGAAAGTAAGACACAGTCCTCCTCCTGAAGGAAAGTGTGGACTGGGGGACTGTAGCCACCAGAAGCCAAGGAAAATATCTTAGAAAGTAAGGACATCACGGAAAGTGTCTTTGAGAGCAAGTGTGTCTGGGGTCTGCCCCCTTTGGGTCAGAGAGACATGGGGTCCCCTCTTGGCTCTGAATTATCTAGTTGGCTCAATACTGGCTCTGTCATTTGAGCCAGTGATTTAACCAAACTCTCTGTTAGTTCTTCTGTAAAATGGAAATCACTCGGAGGCACAGGGCATGAAGATGCCGTGTAAGGCTCTGGCCTAGCATCCGATGGTGCCATGGGGGCAACTCAATCCTCTGTCCCTGCCCCGCTGGACCCACACATGTTCTCAGAAAAAGCCTGGGGACTTGAGGACCTCGGCTTCCCAAGGGAGTGAGCTGTCAGCAAGGCACTGGTGAAGGAGACTGCATTTCAGTAATGATCTCTGCTATTTATACGCTACATTTTCCTTTCAAAGCATTTCTACTCTTTTCTTTCCTTTGAGCCTTTCATCCCCTGGTGAGGCAAGTTGGAGAAGGATTGTTTCCAGGCTATAGAGACAGGAACCAGGAGGCTCAGAGAGGTTAAGGGACTAGTATGAGGTCACACAGCAAGTAGCAGGAACTAAAACAAGCAGGTATTCTTAGTCTATCGTGCTGTCTTCATCAACCCAAATTTCCAAAGTCATCTGGAATCCTTTCTGACACGGTTTTTCTAATTCTTGTCCCTTCTGAAGTCAGAGCTTGTTGTTAGAGATGTATGCCTTAGAGAAAAGGCTGGCAGGAGAATGGCTAACATCTTCCCCTTCCTTTCTTATTTGAGCATCTCCTTCTGGTACTTTCCAAAGGAGGCAGGTGATTCATTTGTTCATTCATTCAACAAATAGCACACCACAGTCTGTACAGGCATGGGGCTCATTAGGGAACAAGACAGGGCCCGGCCCACCAAGGGCTCCTACTCTGATGCAGGTGGGACTGAAGGAGGTCGGAGGAGGGGCTCTTCCACCCAACGGGGCGGGAATTCAGACACATGGTAAGGAGAATCCCAGTGGTCCCACAAGACCAAGAGGGAGAGTGACTATGGGGACAGGGAAGGTCAGATCTCAGAGGGGCTGGCAGGGTCACATAATATAGGGCCTTGGGTACCACGCTAAGTGTGGATTATCTCTAGAGTACATTGGGAGGGAAATAGTGGAGGGAGGAAGAATCAGAGGCCTTGTTGTCCTTGGTAGAAGAATTCAGAATGGAAGAGAAGAGTCTAGGTGGCCTTCTCCTACCCAGATTCCTCAGAAGCAGGACAGGCTCCAGGGGGCCTGCCCAGGCCTCCCTGCTGTCAACGTGCCTCCCTGATCACAGGACTGCTGGGAGAGGTAAGCACAGGTGGGCTAGCCAGAAAGCATGCTGACGTAAGACCCTGGGAGAAGAGAGGGACTCTCTGGCCTTCACCGGCCTCTGCCCGGCCCTTGCGCTTCTGTCTGTCAGCTGCGCGGGCAGGTAAGCATGCTCACTGGATAGGAGACCCGCATTTACGAGGACGGCATCTGATTTGCAGTTAATTTGTTGATGCAGCAAA